GTTGCGCTAAACTGGCCGTGTTAACAGAACTGTCGACAGCTTAGAGAAATTTGTTTAGGCTGCTTGTTTCACGCAGTTTTGGAGTGCCAAGAACTTGATAAGAGCGGAGCGCCAGAGGCCACATCCCTCCCATGTCTGTTTTACCTCCGCGGGTGTCACTGTGTACCTGTCTAGTATAATTTGTCCGCCTCTCATGATAATCAGTCTAATTACAGGGTCAATTTTCTCTTTCTTCGGTCGTGAAGATTCCGACACCGATAAATCAGACCAAACGCAGTTATTTTGTTCTTCCTGCCTGTAGCATCAAAACTACGCCTACTCCCATTGTTAGTAATATCTTGAATTACGCCACACAGGTTATTAACTCAAGCGGCCCGTGTTGTTCTCCATATGTTTGGATGTTAGTATCCGGCCAGAAGCAGTAACAGAGCGGAACTGTCAATAAGTATAGTTTTACCTGCTGGTTTAAGATTATTCGTCTGTTAGAACTGACATAAGATGTTTCTGTCTCAGCCGCAGGACTGGATGGCGTCTGGCAGTGACGTGAAGCCGCACCACGCTGCGCTCAACATGACCGCGGCCTCGGCAGCCGGGCTCGGCGGGACACCCGACGGTACGGCCCGCCCGATCACCCCCAGCGCCTCGGACGAAGACTCCCTCGGGCCGACCTCGCTGGAAGGCGGAGCCGAGTCGCCCTGCGTCCCCCGCACCGATGACATCAAGCCAGGTGAGACGACCTTACCTTTCTAAAACACCTGGTTTGTCTCATTCAAGAATGTTCGCCCGAGGTGTTCCATATAACACGTTAGAAAAATACAACTCTACAAGTGTGTATATATATATACTTCTGCCTGAATGTGATATTATACAGACTACTCAGATTTTGACATGTTAATGCCATATTGCGCAGCGAGACGATATTTTATCGCTAACAATTTTTATGTCGCAACACGTACACGCTGTATATCAGTATGTACTTCAAACACGTCCCGCGCCCTCCCCCATGTCTTCACATACACACCTCCACCTACCCGCATGGGCACGGCTTCAGGTCTAAGTCACACCCCTATCCTCTCTAAGCAAGAAAAACGTCCCATCTTTTCTGATAGGCCACGGTGTGTTAATTTCCCACACTATTGTGCGGTGGTGAGTTGCATTGTCCGGAGCTAATTCGTTCCAATCCCGCCAATGATCCTTCTGTTGTTTTTGACTGTCCACTCCTTCGCTGGGCGTTAAGAAGTCGAATTTTCCCCCTAAGTCCGAGCGCATTCACCCACCAAATTGAATCAGGTCTGGACAGAACACA